TAAACAATTCTCTTCACCTAGTATCTTTTTATTTTTCATTTTTTTTTTGTTGAGTGCATTTCTTAGTGATGAACTACTTTACCTTCAATCAATTACCGTAGAGGTTGCGCAGAGGGTAGCTTTTGAAAGCCCACCCGACCTGACCCGACCATTTCCGTGCCGTACGGGAGGGGTGGGGGGCGCATACCGTCTTCACCTCAATTTTGTTAGTGTTTTGGTGAGTGTAAGTCATGTGCATGTGCGGTGAAACTGTCATTGGTTGCTGGAATGAGCTTGCTAAATTCCTTGTGGAGACTGTGAGACATAAAAAAGTATTCATTATACGTTTTCTTTCTCTGGTGTTTTATTGGGGGGAAAGCAAGGCTTAGGCTAGCCGCGTCACTCTTATTTTATTTTTTAGTTTGCTCAAAGTTTTTCTTTGCGAGTGCTGTGGTGGTGCAATCCTTTTTGTTTTTTTTCTAAATAAACGGGGGCACCAAAAAGCGGGTGAGTAGATGTGTGTTTTGAACCCAAAAACGACCTCACATCTGCCTTGCGACCTGTTTCTCTTAACAAGGCAGAATGAAGGGTTTCAAATCCCTTTTTTTCTGTCTACAGAGGAGGAGGCAGCAAAAGTGCGACCGCCTGCAGTCGTAAAGACGCTCGAGGCTCGTCTGGAAGAGCTGTCGCCGAAGCAGCAGGAGACACTCAGAGATTTCAAGGAAATTGTCAAGTCCGCCCCGTGGTACAACGAGAATGAGCACGATGATTGGTTGCTTATTCGTTATCTAATCGCCCGTAACTTTGACAAGAAGAAATCGTTCGCCATGTTAGAGAAATCTGTGAGGTGGCGCAAAGAGAAGGATGTTGACAATTGGGTGTGTGAGGTTTGCTTAGAGAACCCAAATAAGCACCTGATGCAGTTTGTCGGGTGGGACCTTCAAAGTCGTCCTGTTTGTTTTATGGCAATGCGGTGGGGGCCAGAGCGAAAACATCCACTCAAGCACTGTGTGAATGCATTCAACCATCTGGTGAGGCTCATGCCAGTCGGAGTAGAGCAGTGGGTATGCGTCACGGATTTTGAAACCTTCTCCTACGTTAAAGATAGCCATCCCAAAATGGCTCTCAGCGTGGTGCAAACTATTCAGGATCACTTCCCCGAACGCTTGGGATTGATGATCCTTGTGAATCCCCCCAAGATGTTTGCCGTACTTTGGTCAGCACTCTCCCCCGCAATTGAGGAAAAGACAAGGGCAAAGGTGATGTTACTTTACACAAAGGTGAAACCAAACATCCAAACTGGTTTTGCCAAAATCTTTCCAACGGCACTTGCGGAGTACCTTTGCGAATCCTACAGAAGGAGCGAAGCAAACGTTCTTCCGACGACTCCTGTGTGGTACCCTGTACAGGGCAAGGAGTGATGAATAGTGTGTCCCTGTGTTTGGTAGTTGCGGTGTTGGGAAGAGAGGAGGGGGGAGAGGGGCTATGCATCAACTGGTACCTATAAATTGAATACATGATGCTGTGGGAGATAGGAGGAAAGAACTGACAGAAGAAGAGCCCGAGGAATACACAATTTCATAATAGTATGGGAATAGAGATGCAGAAAGTACTGCGGGGTGGAATGGTCGGGAGTTTGGTCTCCATTTCTCTGCTTCTCTCGCCTTTTCTGCCTAACGTTTTTCCATTTTGGTTTTGTTGCGTATTGACTGTTGTTGTTGTTGTTGTTTTTTTTTTCAATTTTTTGAGGTGGCTTTGGCTTATGCACAATAGATTTCTCATTCTATTTGTTTAGCCCCGCAGTTTGCAGGATTCCATTTTTAAATCTGATTTTTCTTATTTATGTTTCCATTTGGGGCTAAGCGATCTTTCCTTTTCCACATGCATATCTCTCTTACGTGAAAGTCTTTATGAATTTAAAATTTCATTACGTTGCGTAGATGTCACGTATAGGTAGGTGTTTCTGCTTGTATGCTAACGCTGCAAGGGGCTGTGGAGATATGTATGCTTTGCTTGTTAACAGTTACTGTGTGTGTTTTTTTTTATCTGATTTAAGCCTCTTTTACGGATTCTTTTGTTTACTCTTCGTCCCTTCTCATTTAGCTGAGGCGAAGAAGAAGCGATTTGGTTCTGGGTGAAGTGACCTCTGAAAGGCGAGAAGAGAGGCAGGGGGAATTACCGGCTCTGTAAGTTTAGTGGTGGCGTCATGCTGACTTCATCTTACGCCAGTGAGGAGGACCATTTTCGCCAACGACTTGACTCCATCAACAAGGAGATGCAAGACATTATTGCACGCACGGCGATGGAACGGGATAGGCTTTACCGCAATAGCGCCATCGCGTCGCTACCGTGGAGCATTACGGATGCCACTCCAACGGAAGCGACAGATCCCGGGTCTCTGTTCAATGCACCTCTTACCAATTCGCCATCACCTCTCTGTGCCCCCTCATCTGGGGTGCTGGATGAGGCGGCTGTGCGGCGTATAGTTGCTGATGAGATGAAGTCGTGGAAAGTGGTTTTTCAAACGATGCTCACAGGTGTCACAAAGGGCGTGAACGACACGATAAACCAACGCTTAGAGGATGTGAACAAGTCTCATCTAGAACTGTCAGAGTCACTAAAAGAAGCCACGGAAGTCTCCGCACGAGGGTTGGGAGAGATGCAGAGCGCATTCAAACGACTTCAGCGAGGTGCGAAGCTTCCTGTAGAGGATCTTTCTAGGGAAATGGAAGAACATTTTAAAAACATTACGGCTGAACAGAATCATCTTCGGGATGCCGTTTCTACACTGCAAAATGAGGCACGAATCGAACAGCAACGTCAGGACCGTCGTGTCGATGAACTCGTTCGTCGCCACCACGATTTAGTGCGAACTTCTTTGTTAGAACTAGACTCCCACGTTACCGGACTTAGGGATGAATTAGAGCAAATGGTGCGATCACAGACTCGAAAAGCCACAGAGGAGTGTGATGAGATGCATCAGCATGTTGCACGCCTTCATGGAGCGCTGGAGGCGACGAACGACACCACCACAAGGTGGGTTGCAGAACTGAGGCAGCTGATGGAGGAAAACATGTCATTTAGGAGCGAGGTGCGTTCGTGTCGCAGTGATTTTAATCGGCTGGAGATGCTCCTGCACGGTGTGTCGGCGACTAGCCCAGATGCCGGTGCCATTTCAGGAGTAACGGGCACCCCGCCTCGCGGTGAATCAGGCAGGGCCACTTGCGGTCTTGAGGTTTATCATGGGGACGTCTTGAAGCTAAAGGAACAGGTAAATCTTCTTCAGGGACGAATGGATAAAATGGATCGGCAGATGGCGTCCATGAATGAGGCTTTGCATCGTCTTTTTGCTGGTGCTGGTGGTGAGAGCGGGGGAGTTTCGTATGTTCCGAATGCCTCCCAGCCGGGGACGACGGGCGTCGGAAAGAATCATCAAGAACCGTTGGATTTGAGGCGGGGCGCGATGAGCACAAGTCTCCAGCCAACGCATGACGCGTCATCACTGAGCTTGCAGGAGTTTCAGCAGCGGCAACAACAGTTGTTGCTGCACAAAGAAAAACCATACCTTCAACAGCAACAACAAATGGCGAGGACACATGGTCAACGTGGCATGAGTTCAACGGCGGGAACGGGCGGGGATTTGCCGAGAGGAGGGGGACGGTCACCGCCACGTTTGGTGCCCTCTCCATCAACGTCTGCTGAGTTGCTTGAGGCTCAGCACGCAAACTATGGCCCAGGGCTACACCACCACCACCACCATCAGCATCAGCATGATCAACAACGCCCACAGAGCTCCCAGCAAGTTGCGCGTTATTCTCATGTTTTATCGTCCCCGGGGGTAATGGGGCATACGATGGAGCATAGTGATTCTCCTCCAGTGGGTCCCTCAGAGCGCTCTGCGGGCGTACAGCAGCCGCCACCTCAAGCCTCTCCTGACGATTTCAACACTACGTTAATGTGTAGGGATATGCTAAAATCCACCCCTGTAGCCCGTGAATCAGAGACGTCTTTCAAATGTGCTAGTCCATCGGATTCATACGTATCGGATGACGATGAGAAAGCCAAGAAGGAAGTTAGCTCCATGCAGTACCTGCCTGCGCCTTCCAGTGATGTCGAGAGTGAAATTGCCAACAAAAAAATGGCTCGTCTGGCGTTAGACTGAACATTGTTTTTTGGCGGATGTAAGCCGAGTGAGCTGGGTGAAGTTTGCCTGGTCTTGGGTTTCATGATACGTGATTGCGTGAGGGAATTATTGTATGTGAAATACATTGCTTTGTTACGTAAAATTGTGTGTGCGTGCGACCGACGTTGTACTGTTCCTCTGAGAATGGTTTCCCATCCTAGTCTTACCTCTCTGTTTGGCTGTTGCGCTTATGTGAACCCTTCTCCCCACACAGGAACAAAATCCATAGCCTCTCGCTGTTGTTGATGTCGTGTGCTTCATCGTTTTTTGGGGGGGTGGGAGGGTTAGTTTTTTATTTCGGGCGTAGAGACACCTGTTAGATAGGTGCTTTGGAAACCACAACAAAAGATGTCGTCCAAAGTAGCTAGTGTTCCGGGTACGGGAAAAGAGAAGAACAGCAGCACGTTCGTTCGCGAGACGCGTAGCGTCAAGGTTCCCCACCACCGCTTCCCTCCCCTAAAGAAGGTGTGGTTGGAGGTCTACACACCGATTGTGGAGCACTGCAAATTGGAGATTCGTATGAATCTTAAATCTCGCTCCGTCGAGCTGCGGACCTGCCCAGCCACCATGGAAGCTTCAGGGGGTGCGGGGGACGGCAGCAAGGTGTTTCTTCAAAAGGCAGAAGATTTTGTCAAGGCGGTAGTGGCTGGATTTGACGTCAAAGACGCAGTCGCCTTGCTGCGTATGGATGATGTGTACATTGAGGGCTTTGAAGTGAAGGATGTGCGGGCCAATCTGCAAGGTGACAACCTATCTCGGTGCATTGGGCGGATGAGCGGCTCCCATGGCAAAACGAAGTACACCATCGAAAATGTTACACGAACGCGAATTGTCATTGCTGACACACACATTTGGGTGATGGGAACGACACAGAACATCCGTGTGGCAAGGGACGCTCTTTGTGATTTGATTCGTGGTAGCCCAGCCGCAAAGGTGTACACCCGCGTGCGCGCCGTAATGAATCGCGTGAATGACACCTTTTAGTGCTTTGATATGGGAGAAAAGAGGGAAAAAGGAAAGGAAAAAGTGTGAGGGGAAAGGAGGAGGGAGAAAGGATAAAAGAAAATGCTGTTACATCACGCCACATGTTTGCGTCTTCTTTTTTTTTTTCTTCGTTTTGAGCAGTCAGAACAGAAAGTGCCGACGTATTGTTGAAGATATATTGGCATAGGTGCCGTGCTGCGTCTAATCGAATAAAGTTATGAAGTACATGGGGCACCCCTCGTTTGGGGTGCACATAAAGTTACTAGAGTCTTCCTCTGCATGGGCGCTCCTTGTCTTTGGTGGCCTTGTTTGCTCCCGCGGCCTCACTATTTGTTTTTGTTCCTAACTTCTCTTTCTATTCCTTTCTTTTGTTGTTGTTGTTGCTTTTTTTTTCCCTCTCTCTCTGTGTGTGCATATGCAGTTTTTGATTGGCCTCTGGGCTTCGCTTGTGCAGGTCTGTGCAGGTCTGCCCACACCCAACAGCGGATAGTATTGGTGGTTGAGTCTTCACGATGGGTCGTGGCAAATGGGCCAGGCTGACCTTGCGGCTCTGACGTCTCAAGCCACGAGATACAAGGCGAGTCTGTGGAAACCATCCGTTAAGAATGGCCGTCCGCTGTTGTTGCATCACTAAGCTTTTCTTGCAGGTGATGAGGAACTCATTGCCGAGTGGTTGACGTTTTTACTGACATGATTTTTCCCCCATTGCTGAGCATCTCATTGTCTTGGATTGACTACATTGCAGGGTTTCCATTACGGTGATGGGTAATACACCCAGTAAAAAGGGACTGGCGTGCCTGTGGGGCCGCTGTCCTTACGCGTTTCTCTCCGGACATACAATTACCAAGGCGTGAGGAGGGAAAGAAAAGGGGCATAGCCTTGGAAAGGCATTGCGGCGATGTTAGGTGCGTTGATAGCAAGATGACGTGTCTGGTGCTAATGAAGTTCCCAGCAGTTTTTTTTTTGTGTGTGTGCGTGTTTGGTTTCTGTATGTGTTACCTTTCGCCTAGAGGCCTTCCCACGCGGGGAAGAAGCACGTATGTGCATTTGTTTATCCTTGTGGTTTTGCTGCCTCGACTCCATTAGAAAACGAAGGGAAGGAAAAGTAAATATCGGTACACTTGTGTGCGTGTGTGTCTTTCTTTCTGATGCTCTCGCGGATTGATCGCGTGGAGCTGTACAACTTTAAGAGTTACGCCGGCAACGTGACAATCGGCCCCCTGAAGGACTTTACCTGCATCGTGGGGCCCAATGGCGCTGGCAAGTCAAACTTTATGGACGCACTGGGCTTTGTGCTGAGTCCCAGTGCCGCAACCACGCTGCGTGGAAAGGGCACAGCGGACCTCATTTATCGCGGCGCACAGCCGAAGGAGTGCGCCGTGACCGCCGTGCTGTGCTGCACAACACCGGCATCGTCATCAGCGGCAGCGACAGGGCAGGGTCAGGACACTGAGGTCTCCTTCACTCGGGCAGTGGACCAACGCGGTAAAATTGCTCATAAGATTAACGGTGCCCCCGTGGAGGAGCGGAAATACTTTGCGGCGCTTGCAAAGTTCAAGGTGGGAGCCCGCGTGAATAACTTCTTGGTGTTTCAGCACGAGGTGGAAGCGATAGCGCAAAAAAAGGCGCGGGAGTTGACAGATCTGCTGGAACAGGTCAGCGGAAGTGGGGAACTAAAAGAGGAGTACGACCGCTGCAAGAAAGCTCATGAGGTGGCGAATCAGGAGCTGACGGCGGCCTCAGCTGCCAAGCGGGATGCAGTGGTGGCTCTGAACCAAATGCGGCTCCAGAAGAAGGAGGCAGAAAAGTATGAGGAAGTTTTGAGACGTATTAGCGAGGAAAGGCGTAATGAGGCACTGGTGCAGTTGTTTTACGTCGAGTCCAGTTTGGAGAGGCAGAAGTGGGAGCTGCAAGCCTTCAATGAAAAACTCACCACCCTTGAGAAGAGCATAGCCTCCGATGAGGACATACGCAGGATGAAGCGGGAGTACGCCGGAAAGCACAAGGTGTACTTGGAGGAACTTAAGCGGGGCCGCAGAGAGGCGGATGCGCTGAGAGAAAAACATAATACGCTGGAACACATTAAGGCCTCCCTGAACCACTTGAGGCGTAAGCAAGAAGTGAAGCAGCAGGAGTTGGAGGGTGTGATGAAAACGCAAAGAGTGCAATCGCATGAGGTTCAACGCCTCGAGGAACAGTTGCAGAAGCAGAGGGGAATCCTACAGGCTTTTGACGAGAGGTGCAGGAAGGAGGATGCGGAGCACACGACACTAAGTGGATCACTGAGTGCTGAGCAACTTTCAGAGTATCGTCAGCTTCGCAAGGAGGCAGAGTGTGAAACAGTGGTGCTGCGACAGCAACTGGAGAGAATCAAACGGCAGCAGCAATCATTGGCCGAAGGTCAGAAGCAGTGCACAATTGCCACAGAGAACGTCAAGTCTCAGAGGCAGGATCTTCAACAAGGAGTGCAACGCGGCAACGACCGTGTGGCAGAGTTGCAACGCCGTATGAGAGATCTTCAGGACACCGTTGAGGAGCTTACACACAATATCGGTCAAAAACGGGCGGATCTTTTACAGACAGAAAAAAGGACTAAAGAGCGTGAGGTTGAGCTGGCTATGATTCAAGAGCAGTTACACGAACTTCGTTTTATTAAAGAAAATGACAAGCATGGCTCGCGAATGACCGGCGCGTTGCAGGCACTACGTGCTCTTTATGGCATTCGTGGACGTCTTGTGGATCTTTGCACCATTCCCAACGATAAATATAGACATGCGGTGACAGTGGCATTGGGCAGGAATCTTGAAGCGGTGGTTGTGGATACTACCGAAACGGCCATTTCCTGTGTGCGTTATCTAAAGGAGCAGCGCCTACCACCCATGACGTTTCTTCCTCTGGATTCTGTGCAAGGTAGGGAAGCAAATGATCGTCTGAGAACGTTTGGTGGGACTTGTAAGCCTGTTGTGGATGTGATCCGTTACGACACGGTCATTGAGCCTGCGGTACAGTATGCGTTGGGACAGACGCTTGTGTGCGATGGGATGATGGAGGCGAGACGCGTCGCATACGGCAGCGAAGACGGGGAACGTTTTAAGGTGGTGACCCTGGACGGCTCCGTTCTCATGCGAAATGGTGCGGTTCAGGGTGGTCTTGCGTCGATTCAGTCACGTGCGCGGAAGTGGGATGAGAAGAAGTACGAGGATCTGCGCGCTGCACGGGACCGGTTGTTAAGTGAATTGGCTGGGGGATCGGAGGTCAACATGGCACGCGCGCAGTGCGAACTCCGCGACACGGAGGCACGGTTGGAGTTTGTGCACGGCCGCATCAAAGCGGTTGGGGCAGAGTTGCAGGCAACGGAGCAAAAGGTTTCGAACATGAATCGGGAGATGGAAAAGCAGAAAAGTGAGCAACACACAATCGAGAGGCGTTACACTACGTATGAGTCCGAACTCAGACGCTGCCTACACGAGTTACAAGAGACACGCGGATCCATCTTGCACGTTGAGCAGCGCATCTTCTCGGAATTTATTAAGCGGGTGAAAATTCCAAACCTTTTGGAGCTTGAGAGTCATGAGGCTCAACGAGTGAGGGAAAGGGCTGAAGAACGGCAGCAAATTCAGCTGTTGCTTCACAAACTGGAGATTTCCCTTGAGGCGGAGCGGAAGCGCATTGGAGTGCAATCAATTGATGAGCTTCGAGGGGTTTGTGAGCGTATTGAAAACGAAATCCGGCGATGCGAGAAGGACTTGGCGACCTACAGTGAGATTGTCCGCACCACAGAGAAGAAGCAAAGTGAGGCAAGGGTCGGTTTAAGTGAAGCGAAGGTGCAGCTTGACGCACTAGAGGCAAATATTCGTCAGCAAAGTCGCACCTCCGAGCAAGAGCTTGGCAAGTTGGCACAGGCGCGACGAGGAGTTACGGCTCTTCAAGCCGCTTGCGACACACTTCGCCTACAACGCATGAGTATTATGCGGCGGTGCCAAATGGAGGGAATTACTTTGCCGTTAAAACCTGTTGAAGTTGTCGGCGCCAAGCGGTCACGGCTTGTAAACAGCGATGAGTTAAGTCAGAGTGAGCCCTTTACATTGTTGGAGGAGGCTTCAGTTACTGCGCCAACCAAGCAATTGCAGTCCTCCCACTCTCGCCCGCCTGCGGCGACAGGGGAAACACAGGTCATGGTGGACTTCTCAGGGCTTACAGAAACTCTACGAAAGGCGGCGTCGGACAAGACACACCTTGCGGGGTACAAACAACGCACAGAGGCGTTACTGGAAAATTTGCAGCGTGCTGCAGAATCGCTCGTCCCCAGCCTTAAGGCGGCATCGCGGTTTGTTGGATCTGAGGATAAGCTGACCACCTCTTCCGCCCATCTTGAGGAGGTCCGAGAACGAGCCAGCAAGGCGTACTCGGAGTTTGCGAAGGTCAAGGAGCTCCGGACACAGCGCTTTATGGAAACCTTTGAAAGAATTGCGGAAAACGTGGACCGTGTATACCGTGAGCTCACTCTGAGTACCCGGGCGCATGCGGTGCATGGTTCCGCGTACTTGAGTCTGGAGGATGTGGAAGAGCCGTACCTGGCGGGGACGAGGTACCATGCGACACCGCCACTTAAGCGATACATGCCAATGGAGCTGCTCTCCGGCGGGGAACGCACCATGGCAGCTCTCGCTCTCATATTTGCCGTGCATGCGGTTTCACCAACACCATTTTTTGTCCTGGATGAGGTGGACGCCGCTCTGGACGCTGGAAATGTTGAAAAGTTGGCCAACTACATGCGGAAGAACTGCAATACGACGCAGTTTCTTGTCATCTCGCTAAAGGACCAGCTCTACCACGTTGCGGACATGCTTGTGGGAGTTCTGAAGAACAAACAAAAGGAAAGTTCTTCAGTTCTGACAATGGACCTGCGCGGCTACCCCTTTTGATGCTTCGTAGAGGCAACTTTGCTTCTCTTTTCCCGTGATTCTCCTCTCAAGTGGCGAAAAAAAAAACATACACATACAAATGAACGTGGAAAAGATCAGCGTTGACTTCTGATGTCTCGAGTTATTGGCGGGGTTACGAACGAGAGACGAGGAGAGCGTACAGAAATACCATAGAGTCTTCCAAAATATAAAGTTTTTATGCAGCTCAGAGAGGAAGGAACAGAAAAAAAAAAGCAAACGAAAAAGAAGGAAAAGCCATAATAAGACGACTGCTACAATGTTTTGCAAGTGAGGAAGCAAATGGGCACACACCCATCTTTTCTTGTTGGTTTAACATGTCTTGTTGGCTTTCGTTTTTTTTCTTTCTGTTCTTTTACACTCAGTTTCCACTTTGCTTCTCCGGCGGGATACGGCATCTGCAGTCAGTTATGGTGTCGTTTTCTCACTTCTTCTTCCTGCGGGTTGATGGCTTCATTGTTTTTTCGATTTTTTTTTTGTCTTTTTCTCCACCGGTGCTCCTTATGTCTTGCAAAGCGAGTTTTGTATTATTCTCCGCAGGAGAAGTCTTAGTGATGTCTTGGGATGCATTGCCGCCTGTGCCGGTGCGGCCTCTGGCTCTTCACCACGCGCTTACACACGGCGGCTATTTTTATGTTGATCAGCGCATTTTGCAGGAAGATGGTGACGCGCTGACAGACTGCAGCTCAAATGTGCCTGTTCCCGCAGGCCTGCGTGCAATACGAGATATGTTGCCACCCGTCACGCTGGAGGAGTTGGATTTGGCTGCAGCGGTGCTGACTGCATGCGAGTCTGGACAGGCACCGTATGTTTAAGATGTGCGTTGTACTCAGGCGCCTTAATGTTTGTGTTATTGCTCCTATTATTATTATTTTATGTGTTTTCTCCTTAGTGAGTATCGAGGAGCCCTGCCTTCATTGGCACATCCGCACTTGTGGGATAGTTGAAATTTATTTTTTCAGAGAAAACGCAATAAGTATGCATTTGCGTCAAAGTGTGTATTTTTATTATTTATTTATATATATATATATATATTATTTGTTTCACTTCTCGTGCATGCTTATGTCTGCGGAAGAAGTAGGGGGTGGGGAACGAGCGGATGGCGTGTGATGGATGCAAAAGAGGCTTTTGATGAGATCCGTGCACGTTTTGCCGCGCGACCCCTCTTTCCAGAAGTGGAACTCAAGTTAATTGAGATGCGCCGCCGTGTTGAAACCTCACTGCGCCAGCAGGGTGGGTCATACATCTCAGACATGACGGAGGTGAGCGATGCTCAGCAGCGTTCTTCGACGTCGTTGATGCGAAAGCTTCCACCTCCGATTGTTCGCCCGGCTGCCGTGGAGGCCCTGATGCACCACGTGGCTCCCCTACCAGTGCGGAAAGAAGCGGAGAAATACGAGAAGGGTGGTGTGGCTCTTGTGCACTCTGACGGAGGTGGTGACATGAAAGACAGTCGCACTGAAGATTACTGGAGCCAGAGACATTTGACGCACCTTTATGCATCAGGTAGGAGGGTCTTTCATGCCTCAAGGGGTTCATTCAATTTTACCCCAGTGGCGTCCTTTCCGTCTGGGGCAGGCCTGGATCAGACACCCGACGCTGGGACGCGGTTGCCCAACAGTGATATGTCTACAGGGTATTACACGCCTGGGACCGGTGGTGTGCGATCGCCACGAGGCACGTTGGGATTGAATCGGAATATATTCTCACTGCTGAACAGCAGCAGTGGTGCTAGCATGAAGCAATGGAATGAGCGTGGTGATGAACGGCCCGGCGCGCTCCTTACGCCATTGAGCTTGTATGACGGAACCAACGTCGAGCGTGTGCGCCGGGCCGTGCAAAATAATGTTTTTGAGCAGGAGACAAAAAGGGAAGCACAGAAGCAAGGGGAGGAAAAGGTGTGTGAGTAAACAAACCACCGTGGTATGGGGAGTAAAATTGGTGAAAGAGGTGTCAGTTGACAGTGCGAAGGAAGCATTACGTTGCATCCTTACGGAGTTTGAAAATTTTGAGAAAAGTCACGACCAAGCCACTACCATGACGCTCATGGAAACCCTGTTGAGGCTTCAACAACAGAGGGAGTTGACCCGAATCACAGATGGTGATAGACGCAGCCTACACCCGCGTGACGCTTCTCACGGAAGTCAACCCCCTCTGCAATCTGGGCAGCGGAAATCAGAGGTTAATACAGATACGGATAAACTATCACGAGTTCACGCGGGCTGGCGCGAGCCGTGAAGCATGCCGATCGATGTCTGGATCAATAACAGAGAAATACGTGCTATCGCCAAATGTGCTTCAATGGGACGCGACAAACGCGCCCCATTTTTGAGAAGCCTTTTTCCTCTTCACTTCTCAAGTCCTCAGACAGAGGCATCTTAGACCCTTACGATGTGAAGGGCAGGTAGTTAAATGTGTCGGCTCCGTAGGTTTTTTGAGAACAACAATAAGTGGACAGTTATTATTCTTGTTGTGTTTTTATTTGCACGTGGGTGGATATATGTTATATATATATATCATTTCTAAAGACAAGTCAGTCACACAAACTCAGCGTATTGTATTGTACACATGTGTAGAGGTGCTCTCTTTTTGTCTTCTTGCTGTTGCCTTTGCTGTTCACTGAAGAACCAGGTGGGATAGAGGTCTTTTGGGGGGCTGGGGCACCTGAACGGGAAACAAGAATGGGAACCAGTAACTCTAAGGGCGCTCACTGGCAGAGGGACTCCGAGGCTCCCTCGTGTCATAGGTGTGCTGTCACATTTTCTCTTAGCACACGACGCCATCACTGTCGCAATTGCGGCTACGTATTTTGTAGGAATTGCTCAAACTTTAGTTGTACCATTCCAACGCGTGGAGCCCATCTCTCTGTACGTGTCTGCATTGATTGCTTCCACATATTACGCAAGGACGGTAATGGGGCTTTTGTAGCAGGAGGGTTGAGTCGGGGTAGTGAGTCTATACACTCCGGCATGGGTGAGCGCAACGAGGCAAGTTTCCTAGAGCATGAATCGCACCTGAACATGAGCACAACGTGGAATGAGGAAGTTAATCATGAAGATAGTTATTTTATGGGGCCCGGAGGTTGGGTAACAAAAAACGCTGATGGTGGTTTCAAGGGGTCCGATGCGTACTACGGCAACCACTCCCGAGCTGTGGAGCATCTGACACATACTCGTGTAGAGGATGATAAAATGGTCTCCCAGGTGGAGAAGGAGCGCCTTGTAAATCGTTGGGAAGAGGTTCGCCAGCGTGCCCTATTTACTGATATCTTGCTTCAGCAGGTAGAAATTGTTGAGGAGAATACAGATGTGGACTATTTTAGGGAAATCGGCGACATCAAAGTACAACCAGAACACCCTGATATCCTTACAGCCATGTTTCAATTTCCAGAGGCCGAGGAAGGGAACGCCAATCTGTTGATGGAGCCCGTTGATCCACGTATATTGGAGCCCCAGGGGGGATGCGAGTGCGTCAGTGAGGATTTGGGGCAACTGGCAACGCTGCTTTTTTTACCTCCCGCTAAGTTAATCAAAAAGAGTGACTCAAGGCTACTTCGGCAGTGCTAAACCTTAATTTGTGTGTGTATTTCTCTTTGGTGTTTTCTCTTTGTTTTTGTGTGTTTTTGTTTTTCCTCTGCTACTACTTGTTCTACTTCTCTCATGGATTACACTTCAGCCGATTGTGCTCATCATGTAGCCACTATGCGTTTGTGTGTGCCTAGGCACGAAGGCAGTGCAAGCCACCCCGGTCTCAAAGATAAATAAAAGCACATTTCAACTAAAACTCTTGCGTTCTTGCTGTATGTGGACTAACGTGGCTGTGATTGGATTGTTGTGTCACTGATTTTTTTCTTCCTTGTTTTGCGTGGTGTGTCTGTGTGAAGTGTTCCTTCAGCGGAGGCGGAGGGAAACACACACGTGTGCTATTCTGCTATAATGTTTTTTTTTTTTTTGTGGGGGGGGGGGTTCACTCATTTTTTCTGCGTCGTGGTGGTGTCATAAACAACTTAAACATCAACCGCAAGGAACCGACAGCGTCAAAGGGGCATATATATATATATATATATATATACATATATATATAGGGGAGAGGGAGGGCGTGTCGTATCCTTACCAGGGTGGAAAGTGTTGTGTACGTGTGTGTCTCACTTGCCTTGGTTGTAGAAACCGTGGGACATCATGCGCTGCTCGCGGTTGTATCGTCGGCAAATGAGGCCGTACTACAATCTCCCCTCCAAGTCGGATCACGGGCGAAAGATGACGGGCTTTCTCACGCCCTACCGCCATTGGATGTGGAAGCAAAATGAATTGTGGCGCAATGTTCACGAGGCGCAGTTTGAACATCTACGAAAAGTGTACAAGCGCCAGTGGCTCGAGTCGTTCCGTGTCAACGCGGATGAATACATCTACAAGTACAACATCACCAAAGCAGCCCAACTGGCTCAGTGGGAGTACGAGATGCAAGAGCAGGAAAAGAAGCGTGTAGAGTCAAAGCAAATGACGGAAGGACGACAAGCACTCAAGAAGAAACACTTGGACTTACTGCGAGAATTTCACGAGAGGCAATTCTTCTTTTGGTATGAACGCGCTAGTGAAAGGCTCCAAAGTATGAGTCTCATTCAGTACATTCCACAGTCAAAACTGCAGGAGCATATTGAGAAAGAGTTGGACAAATACGTCGCTGGGAAGAATGAGGTGTACCCACTAAACTTCGTCGGACAAATGCCGTTGGTAGAAGACCACGACGGCAATATCGTGGAGGTGCCCGAGAGTCTCCTCGTGAACCATGTCTCAGAGCACCCCGACTCTACAGCCAAACCTCATCAGCCCCATGAGAGCACTTCCGTCAGCGGCGAGGAGCAATTGCTGCGCACCATGGCAAGTGCGAGAGAGGAAAGTCTGGAGGAATGGCTTGAGGATGACTCAAGAGCACTCTCTGAAACGATTGACGACATTTCCCGCGAGGAGGAGCAGAGAGATGAAGGCACTCGAGTGGCGCGCAGCATGGAGGAAACCGAGAGCGAGCGTGAGATTAGTCGCCGTATGTACATTGACCGTGGAAAAACGGGTTCAAAGGCTATTTTCCGTCGTCCAAGTGTAACTGAAACCGGCGGCAGCACTGCCTCTGTGGCAGCTGGTGGTGGAACATCAGCTACAGGCACAAATACACCGATGAGGCGTCGCAAGAAGGGGAAGCTGGACAAGGTGCATGTTCTGCAGGAGCAGCAGGATGCCTTGCTCGCCAAGCTGTCTGCTCGGAGTCTTAAGGAGGGTGAAAGTGCATCCACACTCGGGAAGCGTGGGGAGATTGTGACGAACCGAGGCCGCATTCGTGACAAGGCAGCAATACCTACAAAGGAAATATTGATGCAAAACCCCGAATTGGCAGCCGGCAGTGTGCCAAACGCACGTGTTAGTGTACAGGACAAGGTCGACCAACTGTACCACCGCGGCAGGTACAAGCAGAAGAAGGGTGGTGAAGGGGATTCAAATGAAGATCTTTAGTCGTATTGGGAATATCTCACATGTGGGTGACACTGTGACTTTTATGGATTTTTCTCAGGAATGGCAACTCATCTCTGCAGGCACACATTTTTTTCCTTTGTCTTCGTTAACAATCTCTTCTTTGTGTCGTGTGTCTTTTTCTTTGGTCTACCTTCAGTTGTGACTTAACGTTTTGTGTGCTTGTTTCTTTGGGATCTGCACCTTTTTCCTTTATATCGCGTTTTTTACCGTTCCCTTTTTATGTTTGCTTTGGACTTCCTTCTTTTAGCACGGATTGCAAGTAAGCACTAAAACGAGGGGAGGAGGGGTGGGGGGTGAACATCTCATCACCTTGCCGTCGTTTTTTTAAAATTTTTTTTTTTGTGTGTCTGTGTGTTGTGGTTGTTGTTTTCTTTGTGGCTCTTCCTGGAGGCGTGTGGGGCGTGGTTGGATACAACGTCCGTGAATAGAATTGGGACCAGGAGAGAAAGGAAAAACGAGTCTTGCTGGTTGCTTCCTTTGGCGGTGAAAGATAATGATGTTATCACCACCGCGAAGATTCCGCTTGGAGATTGCCGTTAAGCGGCTGCATAGTCTTGTCAACATGAGTTCATCGGCGAGGATCGTCTTCGCTGTACGCTTCTCAAGCTTTCCAGAGATTTTCCTCCGGCCACAAACTGGCGGTGGTGGCGGTGTTGTTGAACGGGCCCCCGCAGGTGACTTTATCCTTTCGCTGACATACAACGTGTGCCACAAGGCCGAGTTTTATCTCAATGACGATGAGTACCGAAAAATATTTCCTGCGCAGTGCGTCTGCCGCGTGTACGACGAGGGACAACCGCATGCGCCTGTGTCATGGGTATGCCCATGCCCGCTGTCGACGGTGCAGGTGGCGGCGGGCCGGCAACATAGCAACTACGCCATGTGCGACAGCGCCGGGAAGACGATGGGCTTTGCGGAGATGTCCTGTCGCGTTGTTCCCATGGACGAAGCGATGCTGTCTACTGCGGTGGTGCCTGGGGCCACCGCTTCTTCAGCCGTCTCCCGCCAGGCATCTTTGCCCGTGGCAACTTCCAACTTAACGGTCAATGGCAAACCTTATGTTATTCGTGTGATTTTGGACGGCGCGGATGGGGAGAGAAGGAAGAAGCGCATGCACAAGATGACGCGGGGTGGCCATCGAGATTCCTCGCCGGCGAAGTTAACGTCATCGGGCGCTGGAGCTGTGGTTGAAGGCACATTGCCACAAAAAGAAGCGGAAAAGAGTCTACGGGGTCGTCCGCTGGCAAGCACACATGAATCTAATCGACGAGGAAGCAAGTCTACCGTGAAGAAGAAAACGTTTTTTCATGTCTTACAGTACGGCGTGGCGTATCAGATTCAGTCAAATTGTGGAACTTTATACGCCACCTTGAAGCGGGAATTTACGCTGCTTGACGCAGTTGCTGTGGATGAGAAGTCAAAACCCATAACGGATAAGCTCGATTGTGTGGTGCAGCAAATCTTGAAGTCCGCGAATATTGTGATCCAGTTGGCCAATCAGCTTGCCGAGTCCTCTGGAATGGACTACACAAGTGCATCCGTGGAGGATAGCTCACGCAGAAATCCAGTAAACAAATTGCCCATTCCACGCGAAGGAAGTGTGGCCCATTTTCTAATGTATCACGTGCTTTTTCAGCTGCAGTGCCTAGGGACGAACCTCTGCCACCTTACAACAGCCTACCGTCAGCCACTGGAGGTTCGGTTATCCACTCTGCATCGTCAGCATGTCAAATATATCAAATATTTATGCATAGAGGTTCAAGAATTGACAACACGTATTAACATTATTGTGCAGTCAACAATAGATCGAAGCTTTGCTGGCGGGGGTACCTTTTCAAAATTTTCAACACCGGCTTATTCCTCTAAATTTACCAGCAGTGTCAGTAGCGCTTGTACAGTTTCCTCACGATCCTCATCCGGTGGAGGATCCTCAGGACAGGGAAGCTCCACGGTTGAAAGTGTTTCGTCGGCATCCTCATCAGGACCCAAGGTGTTGGATAAGCCTCTTCCCACTTTGACGCATTTCGTATCGCAGCCTGTGGTTTACTCTAACACTAACGAACAGCCGTCATCAGTGCCTTCCCCACAGGGATTTTCTGCGGAGACTCAAATACCAGTATCATTGCCCGATAATAATAGGCCACTTCCATCAGCCACGTTTGATCCCAGATACAGTTTTCCACCATCCACAGAGTTTAGAACGGGACTGTTGCCCCCGAAAACCTCCACAATAACGCCTTCAGTGAGTGGAATGAGTGCAAACAAAATCACGGTATCTGACAACGCGGTGAACGCTCTTTACATCCCAGCTGGTGCTGCCTCTACTTCTTCACAGCCTGTATACTCAGATATAACTCCTTCAGGAGCTGGCGCACAGCGACATACGTCTCTGGAGAGTGGTGGCGCCCCGGTGCCTGTTCCTCAGTCGGCTTCTTTGACTGCGGGAGGCGTCTCGGGGATGGGAGCTGGCACCCAGCGACATACGTCTCTGGAGAGTGGTGGCGCCCCGGTGCCTGTTCCTCAGTCGGCTTCTTTGACTGCGGGAGGCGTCTCGGGGATGGGAGCTGGCACC